TCCTATCTAGAGAAACATCAAACTCACTCCCTCCCTCAAGGGATCTGTTCACAATGATCCGTTAAAATGTGGGACCCATGAGAAGAGCAAGAAACCAGAATCTATCCAGCCTGTCTTTCCAGTTTAGAAGATTTAGAGCCCTACTGCAGAATTACTTAATTAGTTAGAAGTTTCCTTAATAATTTTATGTAATTAGGACTTTGGAGTCAAATAGAAAATTCTTTTCATAAAAAAAAGTTTTCATTTAGAAAATTATTATGTCTGGTCAAATGGAAAAGCTTGGTCTAGATTCTAGAGATTGCTTGCAAATGTGTAAGCAGACTGTCTTTCTAGTTTAGGAAATTTAGAGCCCTACTGCATAATTACTTAATTAGTTAGAAGTTTCCTTAATAATTTTATGTAATTTGGACTTTGGAATCAAATAGGAAATTCTTGTCATTAAAAATTTTTTACATTTAGGAAGTTATGGTCCTGGTCAAATGGAAAAGCTTGGTCTAGATTCTAGAGCTTGCATACAAGTGTGTAAGCAGATTACATGAATAAAATTAGGCAAATTACTGGAAATCCCCTGATGATATAATCTATAGAAATCACTTATATTCTTGAAATTGAACAGACTTTGTAGCTATAACTATTACACACTTATCACGCTATTGTTAAACTTTAGTATTAAATTTAACAATTAGAAAATTACTATAGCACCCTTCATTTGATAATAAGATAATTATAGCTATGGAAGGTTTTATTACTATCAAAGTCAGCTTTTACCCCCTTAGAATGCTCTCCTATTTCTTTCTTTACACAATCCCACTGATCCCCAGTAACCTGTACCCGATGGTCCATGACTTATATGCTGATGGAAAACATCACAACAAAAAATGATTGCAAGACTTCTCGTGTACCCCCTTCCATAGGAAGCATTCATTCACCAAAATCTTTTCCCTTTTCATTAGCTTGTAAATAGTAATTATAAGTCTGTCCCTGCTTCTCAAACAAAAAAAGCTATTCTGGACAGAGCACTCTTCTTCTGAATTTGCTTGTACGGGAAATTGACTTCTGTTGAATCATTCTTAACCATGTAATTGTAAAGAAACTTTACCGTGTAAGTACCCTCAGCTCTCAAACTCCAAGTTGGTTGATCATTGCTCTCATTCAAATAGATTATAGATGTAGAGCTAAGAAGGGATCCATACTCATTAACCTCTCAATCATTGAGGTTTCTAGTCAAGTCTACTTGCAATTCCAGAGCCCCTGATGATTCTAAATGACTCACCAACTATGATATCTTTGTTTCGTACAGTATCAAAAATCTGAGGGAATTGATCTTTTAAGTGCTCCATCCCTAAACCAACAATTCGTTTAGAAACGAATTCTTCTCCCGTTGCTGATACATCCTTGAAGTTTATCCATTCCCATACAAATTTTCTTCCAGAACCATTTCCCATGCAGTCTTGACAAAGTTCTGGTATACCATCCTCTATCCACTGTACCAAACTTCGTCTCGATTGCCCTTCTCCAAAGAGTACTATTTTTTTTTTTTTGATAAAAAAACCATACACATTTGGGGCATTCTGAGAATCAAAGAGTACTGTTTTCTTTCATGAACTGCCAAAGGCACTTGCCCTCGAGTGCCTTGTTCATATCCATGAACAATCTCCACCCCAAATCACCTTGATGCAACGATTTTTATTCTCATCCCATACCATTAAATGATATCTCCTTCTATCTTATGTGTCAGACTTTAAACAAAATAATAGGCAGAAGTCTATTTTTTTTTTTTGTTGATTTAAGGTAACAAAAGCATTAATATATGAATTCATTTTGGCAGATGTATCCAATAATTGGAGATCGATACAAATGTAAAGATTGCACGGAAGAAATAGGTTATGATCTCTGTGGAGATTGCTATAATACTTCCTCTAAACTTCCAGGTCGGTTCAATCAGCAGCATACATCAGAACACAGGTTTGAGCCAAAGAAGAAGCAGATTCCTCAGAATTTACTGTTGAGGGTGGTGGCTGGACCCTTAGGGGGTGAGTATACCGTTATTGTCCCTGATGATACTGAAGAGAATTTAGAAAGTGGATTCTACCCTTCCGGTTTGTTGAGCAATTCTGAAGAGACTGTTGGGAGCGATTTAAATGAGTTATTTCCGAACACAGGTGGTGATGCAGATGAAAACGATTCAGAGATGAGTTAGAAGGATCTGCATAAGCATTTTCTCTCTCGGGTCTGAGCACATTTGAGGACAGTGGCTGTAAATCTTTAGTATGGTAAGTGAAGTTGCAGCAATTCAAGGCACCATTTTAGCTCACTTGTTCTCAACAATTGCACTGCAGTTCAGTGAGTTGCAGAGTATCCATGGAATCATCCTTTATTTTTATTTGTATTATTTTTTTTTTTGGCATTGTCAAGATCTGGTAATCCTTTATGCTCATTTGGAGCTAGTATAGTCGTAAACTGATGATAGCTCGTGAACTCATGTATAGATGAAGACGGAATCAGAGAGGGTGAATTTCGTTTCTAGTTATATTATATATATATATATATATATATTGATTAAAATATTTTATGCATATTTATATATTATTTATTTTATGATAAATTATCAAAGCAAATATGCATATTTTACAATGTTCAACTACAAATTTCTGATAAAATTAATTAATTAATTAATTATTTAGTAATCAAAATATAAATACTTGTAAATTCAAATTCAGAGGAAAGTTACAAAGAGGTTTTCCAGGTGTGAATTCTTTCGTGTTCGGTTGAAAACGAAGTTTTGCGGGTAAGGAGATATACTCCACACGCGCTCCGTGATTGGTTTAAATTATCCTGAAATTGCAGGTTGTCAGTAGGCAGACCCCTATTTCCTAGTTGGTGATGGCGTTGGGGAGTCCTGAGGCAAACGCCGCTGAGCGCGTGGCGTAATTAGGTAGTGCAGAAAAAGGCGGGAGGACGTGAGATAAAGATTTTATGTGATTAATTAAGTCGTACATTTTTTTAGGGGGGAGAAGAGATGTCGAGATCCGAGCAGAGTCATGATTGGCCCCCCCTCCGACTTCACACCTTTGCCATTTGTACGGCAGGTTTCTTTTTTTTTTATTTTATTTTTCCTCTTGGTAATTTAAACAAATCTATGTTTTAATTCTCTCTTGAATTTAAATGCACTTATACAATCAAATTTTAACACAAACACACGAATTTCGGATTTGCAGAAATGGAGCTGTTGATGAGTCGGAGATCAACCTGAGGCCTCCGCCAGTCGTCGGAGTCGCGCCGATGAGCAAAAGACGTTTTCCGGTGACCGGATGCGAGTAAAGAGAGGACGCGGCAAAAAAGAAGCAAAAAAAAAAAAAGGAAAAAGATATTTTAGGCGGGAAAGATTCGATGGAGTTGTTGGATGGAATTAATTAATTAATTAAGATTAAGATAAACCACATTAAGTTGATAATCGTGCATTTAACACAAAATCTTACCACTAATCCATCTTGGTAATGCTACCCTCCTAAACCCTTCACTTTTTATTTTATAAAATTTAAAAAAAAAAAAAATTGAATTATTTTTTAAAAGAAAGTTGGGTTGTGTGGTAATTATCATCGATTCATCATTACCAGCTTTTGATTGATGATTCAAATATATATTATCTGAAACTGTATAATTTAAATAACTAAAATTTAAATATTAACTCTTAGAGAAAAAAAAAAAAAAAAAAAAAAAAAAAAGGAAAAATCTAAACATCAAGAGTACCAAATAAGGCTACTACGTACCAAAGACTAAAATGGTTTGGAAAGTTGACTTGGACTTGAAAGAAGAAAGAAGAAAGAAGACGAGTCTGTACTTTTTTGTTTTTATTTTATGGTTTCACCGTCTTCTTCATTCTTACAATCCCCACACTGCTGCTTTCGTGGATAAGCTCTACCACATTCATTCTTCCGGCAGTTTCACTATGGGTTAATTTAATTAGGATTTAATTTTTCATAAATTATCATGTTAGGGCCAAACTTTTATTAATTTATTAAGAGTTTGGAGACTCCATTTTTAGTTTCAGACAAAGGAAAGTGTGTGTTTATTATTATATGTAGGCGAAGAGTTAGTGAAGATGGAGGTCCGGAGTTGAACGTTAGAGTGAAGAAGGTGGTTTTTAATTTATGTTTCGACAGTTAAAATTTAACGGGTGTTAAACGCAGCTTTCTAGATAGTAATACTGAAAAGAAAAATGTGAAAGAAAATAATTATGAATTAATATAATTTTAATAATAAATAAATATAAAAATAAAATAGTTCAGACTTAAAAATGGAGGAGGGCAGTAGATAATAAATATATATATATATATATATATGAAATCAGATACTGTTCCCTTAACCCCAGCCTTCTGTCTCAAACTTTCTTCTCTCCCTCTCTCTATCAACAGTCTCCTTTCAGATTACAAAGTTGGTCCCCCTCCTTTTTCCACCTCTCTCTCTCTCTCTCTCTCTCTGCCATTAAAGGCTCCTCTCATCTTATTTCCCCTGCTCCCTCTCACGTTTTCCTTCGCGTCCTTCGCTCATCACCTCTTTGTTCGAAAAAACAAAAGGAAGAAATTATTGCCCAAGCATACAGTCATTTGCATTCTCATTTCACTGCTACCACTACCAGAATCTGAACCAAAATCAGAAGCCATACACGTTTTCTCTGTGAGCCGCAAATGGGCAAGTACATGAAGAAATCTAAAATCACTGGTGACGTGGCTGTCATGGAGGTTTCTCAACCCACTTCCTTAGGCCTTCGTACCAGGGCCGCCAAAACCCTAGCTCTTCAGAGGCTCCACTCTGCCTCTTCCTCTCCCCCACCCACAACCCCAGATGGCTCCTCCTTTTCCTATCTCCAGCTCAGGAGCCGCCGCCTTGAAAAGCCTCCATTACTCGCTGAAACCAAGCAACACCACAAACACCAACAGAAGAAGCAGCAAAACCCGGAAGGGGAAGCGCTAGGTAATTGTGGCGGAGAGGACACTCTATCAAAACGGAGGACTAGGGCTGCCTCCAGGCTCAGTCTGGGTTCCGTGAATATGACGTCAGGCATGTCGGCTTCGGTTTCGGTGAGTGAGGAGGGTAGGGGGTGTTCTGGTAAAAAAGAGAAAATGGTGGGTGCTAATGGTAATAATTGCAGTAGTGAGGGCTTTTATGAGGTAGAAGACGGGGAGGATACTGGCATTGAGGCTTCTTTTGGAGAGAACAATTTGGATTCCGAAGCCAGAGACAGGTACCCTTTTTCTCTGCGTCTGTCTCTTGAAGTTTCCTTTTCTTTCACTTGCGTTTCCCTTCTCTCTGAATGAGTAAGGATGCATCAGAGAATTAACTTTTCAGTGTTTCTCTGTTACTTGGTGCCTTTTGCTTTTATTACAGATAGGTAACTTAAAAACGTCATGTGCTTTTCTTTTGCTGCTTTATGGTTCATTTACAGTGAGTTGGGGCTTATGGATTGTTTTTTCCCTTTCTGTATCTTGTTGGGTGTCTGCTTTTTGTGGGTTTTCTGTGTTTTCTTCCTTGGATATTCAAGTTTCTTCTTTAAAAATAATTTCCTTAGTAATATTTTTTAAATGAACTTAAAAACTCTTTCTTTGTTTCCTTTTTGAGTGTTTGAGGTAGAGTTAGGGGCCATTTTTGATATTATCTTCTTGGTCTTCCCACTAAATGTTCTGCAATCAAAATTAAAAATGGAATGAAGACAGTATTTCTCTTTTCATTAGCGGGTTCCTGAAGTTTAAAAATGTCTGTTTTATTTCCATTTGTTTCTTGATACATAATGAGAAGTTCGCTACCGGCATGCAGTTTTGTTTTTCGTCCTAAATTTTGAAGGTGGCGCTTCCTTTTCCCTTTCAGGATTTGTTTTGGCCTCCCATTCTTCCGGACTTGAATCTTTGCAGCTTTTCTAACTGGACTCTTTTCTTGAGTTATTTTATTTAAGCTGTGCAAGTTTCCTTTGTTTTTGGTGTTACGAGAACGTAGATTTAGTTAGGAAATGTGCGTTTCACTGTTCTCCGATCATATACGTGAATTTATATGTTATAATTTCCCAAAGAGATTTTTTTCTCTTGAAGGGTCTCTTTTGCTATGATTTTTTTTCTGTGTATTCACATCCCGTGATGAATGAATATTAATATTCTAGTACATTGAAGGGCAGTGAGGCTTGTGAGTTGTGACCAGTGAGAGGTTCTTTTAATGAATAGTACACAGTTGTTTACTGCAACATGGGCCTGCAAAGTTACTAATACTGCAAGTTGTTTATCTCTCTCTCTCTCTCTCTTTAAAAGATTGATAATGTCTTTCATACATGATAATTTAATTATATAGTACCTCTCATTTCTATCTGCAGATTCGTTTTCCTAATTAAGACACCAGTTTTAGTTGATTTCATCGCAACTTAGATTAGTTTTGGTTGTAATTTTCTTCCATTTTACTTTTCTAGATTTATTTTAAGATGTCTGGTGCTTTTAAACTGATGAGATCTATATAAAGTGAAAAAATGAGGATATTGTTTTTTGCTATACCAACAATAACTGCTGTTCCTCATTTTTCCTAGCATTGACATATCATGTTCATGGGGCCTAGTTACAGACTGAAATATGTTATATGTGGGATACTCTGTTTGGGGCAACCAGTACGTGACAAAATCTTTCCCATTTTCTTCCTTTGTAATGCATGCGATTGCCTGTCAAATTTGAGTTTTTCTTTATAAATAACTGTCAGCTTCATTTTGTTTGTTTCTTGTCCTTCCTAACTAGTATTAGTTCACACGTTTGTTATGTTTTGATCTGTGGTTGTACTACTTTTTTGGGCTAATTTTGTACAGTTAATAAATGTCAAAATACAGGTTTTTGTAAAATATTCGTTTGGTGATATTAGTATTTTGTTTTCAATGGAGAATCATGTAAAATGACACTAGTCAATTAATTTTTGTGCATCACACAGGAGCACTAGAGAAAGCACGCCATGTAGCCTGATAAGGGGTTCAGACACCATGGTAGCCCCTGGTTCTAGCACTCGGCGGGTGAGTTCAGTTACAATTTCTCAGAGAGGTTGGATTGACATGCAGGGAATTATCCCAACAGCGAACGAAATGGAGGAATTCTTTTCACATGCAGAGCAGCAACAGCAGAGATTGTTCATGGATAAGTATGTTGCTCTCATTCTCCTTTCATTTCCCATATGGACTTTTTCTTCATGATAGGATACACAATAAATGCCAGTAATCAGAAATGCAGGTTATTTGATGCAGTTTCAAGCGTTGGACCAAATTGGGTCTCTTGTTAGAGGGGCACCCCTTATCTGATTAATTTGTTGGTGGGATCTTGCAGGTACAACTATGACATTGTGAATGATATGCCCCTTCCAGGACGTTATGAATGGGTGCAAGTGTCTCCATGAATGCAGATTCTGCCCATCTGAGTTTTATTGCCCGATGATGACTTCTCCATTAATTTTATGTCTGGGATAGCAAAGGAAGCATAAAGAAGTGGGGTAGGCACCCTTCAACTTCATCGTAAAGAGAAATGAAGCTCTCTCGAGGATGTGTAATTTAAAGATCTGTAACATACAACAGAGCCGATGAATTACACACTAACAAATATCAAACCCAATATCTGTTGCTGGAATTGAAAAGAAGTGGAAAATAATTTGAGATGAGAGGGAGAAGGATAATTGGGTGGTTTAGATAAGTTAGCATGGTTGTAATCTCTTGTGGCCTGGAATATCTACTTGACCTTTGTTTTCCATAGCTGTTGTCCATAGTACTTCTTGTAGGGACGAGTAAGGAGATGCTCTTTGGAAATAAATTCACTCATTTAATATTGGTGTCTTATTGTCTTTTTGTCTGTTTCTTATTAGTGCAATTCATAATTCCTCTTAGGTTTTGAGCTTTGATGGTGATGTTTCTCAGCTTCTAAATCTAATGCAAGACTAATATATGGCGCTTCTTGTTTTTGACCTGTTGTGGCCGGTTCCGGTGGTTTGGTGGTCCGATTTATCGGCGACACTTGAGACTGACTTACTCCAAATTACTCTTCTTGAGTTTAACATGCTCAATTATAAGTTTTCCTTAAATTAACTGAAGGCGGTTATGTTGTTCTGATACATGACTTGTATTGTTTTTACCATCAGGATTTATTCTTTGGTTGAGAATGAGCTGTTTATTATTGATTTCTAAATTTAGACAATTGTATTAGTAACATGTTTGAGATTAATGGTAGGTGAATGATGAGAAGTTGGTGTTCCCCGTTTGGTCACACTTGTCTTGATATATCTAAATATGATTGTATCATGGACTGTCTGTAGAATGGGGAACTGGCCCCCCATTAGATTATGACACATTGAGGTTGAAGGAGAAAAATTCAAAAGTCAGGCAGAGGGCGGTGGGGTTTATTTTACCAGTCTTGAGTTTGTTCTGTAGCAAAATACATATCATCACTTCACAGGAACCTCTGGCTCTCTGCTTTGCTGACACTTGAATTTTTATTATAAAAAAAATATATATATATATATCTAAATTTCTCTTCTTGGTTGTAAAAGTTTATGGGGGTGGACGTAGTGGCGGATAAAAGCTGCTTTCAGATTCAGATCTTCAAGTGGGCATTTATTGACTGTACACAGAGAGAGGTCTGTTGTGTGAGTGAGTGTAAGCCTTTTCACATGGTAAAGGAGAGAAGGCATCATCGTCAATCATCATATATTCAACATAGATTTCATGACGTCCCCTCTCTCTTCTTTTTCTTCATTTTTTTTTTTTCTTTAATAAATTACTCTGCACCACTCTTCAAAATAGGTAAAGTCCTACACAAGCTTAAATTTGGCAGTCTGTGGTGTAGGTTCGCGAAGAGGACAAGTCGTTTATACCCATTTCAGTTCTAAAATTTATACATGTCCACAGACTCAGGGTTTCAACTGTTGGTGGGTAATATGGCAGTAAATTATCATTATTTTTATTTCAACCAAGTAACTTGTTTTATTAAGTTTGTGAAAGCTCTAATTTTTTTTTTGGGGGGGGGGCTTCTATGTTTTCGTAACAGTTAACTTAGTAATTTAGTTAAAAAGTCCAACGATCAAAGATTAATTTGACATAAAAGTAGAAAAAATAACTCAGCCCAAAAGCAATAGTCATAATTTAAACCAAAATCATTTAACAATAGTATGATATGCCTGAAATCAGATTCGCACCAGCTGATTAATCATCTTTTTTTTGTTCTTAAGAAAAATAAAGAAAAAGAAATGGTTTGATTTTGGAAGGAAATTAAGATAACAGAATTTGGTTGTTTTCACATTTTCAAAAAAACAAAAAAGGGATCCAATATAGATTACAATATTTACCAGGGCCATAAAAAGCCAAGTACAAAGATTGCAAAACATTATTGAAATAAATCATTTCCAGACATATTGTAGAGTTGTAATCAACTATAGATATAAATTTCAAATATTTATAAGAACCTAGGATTCCAATCTTCACCATCAACTCCCAGTTTTCATTCATTGAATTTGAATCAAGACTTTGTTGGATTTGGAATTTAGTCAGTAATAACTTCAAAAAGACCAGGAAAACAAAAATTATTACACAGTTGTGGTTGCTGCACAGAGGGGCAAAAAGGAATGGAGGATTGTCGGCAAAAACCAAAAAAAAAATATATATATATATATATATATATATGTTAGAAAATGACAAGAACAAGAGACCTCCTTCTTTCGTTGCTGCAAGTTTCAGTAGCCCTACATTTCTAAATAAAATATCTCAGACAAGACATTGTTTCATCTCTCAGTGATTCAGATTCATATCTAAATAATCCTCTTTTTTTCCTTTTTGATGCGCCAAAATGGCCAGTGTATGTATGTATGTGTTTGTGTCATAACTTGGAGTTGCATATCGGAAATATTGCATGTTTCAAGAACTTAAAATGGCTTCCAGCCTTCTCTTCTCATTTCTTTTCTGCTGCTAATGATAAAAGATTACCCTAGGTTAAAAATCCAAGGTAAAAAAAAACAAATATATTTTACACCATATTCAATCTCTGTTTTTTCTGATATGGGTGTGAATGAAACATGTAAATAAATGTATATGCTCATGGTTTAGACAATGTGTAAATGGGTTTTACAATTCTTTCCTACCCAAAAGCATGTGGGTTAAGATTTGGAATCAGATTATAAAACCATATTTGTGGTCGCAAACAAGCCCATTTAAATGTTGGCCAAAATTATTTTTAATTAGTTTTGTATATATATGGTACATATATATATATATATATATATATATAGCTTATTCTGCTATCTCAAAGGTAAATAGAATTAGTGAGAGTTTACAGAAGTTCTTAACAAGTATTCATCTTTATTTTAGAGAGAAGCCAGTCAACAAGTATTTGACAATTTACTAAAAAAATTCACCCCAAACAATGGTAAAAAAAAAAACAATTTTCGTAGAACATTTAAAATGAAACTGAAACATTGTTTTAAAATTACAAAGAGTTCAATTTTGAATGCTTATAAATTTAATTATGAATGTTGATAAAATTACTTCTCATTATTTTTACATTAATTTTTTTTTTTATCATATTCTAATTCGATTGTATAAATCTTTAAGACCAGAGAAAAACCTCGGCCCAGTTTTGTTTAAAAAATGAAATATTATTTTGTTTATCTCAAATTTCAATTTAAAATTTTTTTATTAATACTGAAGAGAGGTTAGGAGTAAATAACCCCATTAATGTTTGCCATTTTATTTAATTTGCAGCACAAGTGGAAATGACGAGAAGAGAAGAAAAACTTCTTTCAACAGCTTAGCTACTCAGAGCTTCCTCCCTTGAAATCCCTAATTCCCGCCGCTTAACTTTCCCAGACCCACCACTTAATTTTCCTTCTTTCCGTCTTCACTTGAAAAAGATTCATCCTTTTCTGCCATGACCACCAGCTTCGCTGCAAACGCAGAGCTTTCTCGATGCTTTGCTGCCTCCTTCCGGTCTTCCTGTAGCAAACCAACCGCTGCCCATCAATGTTCCCGGCTCGAGATTTTCTCCCTCGGCCATCCGTCTCCACCTGCGCTTTGTGTCCAACAACTGACATCGAGAAGAACCGCTGCCTCTGCCCGCGTCTTTTCCATGTCTCAGACCGATTCTAGGGATGCTGGCCTCACTTACAAGGATGCTGGTGTGGATATCGATGCAGGGTCCGAGCTTGTTAGGAGAATTTCCAAGATGGCTCCTGGAATTGGTGGCTTTGGTGGTCTTTTCCCTCTGGGTATGGTGGTTTCTTTTTTTTTTTAAATTAGTTTTTATTTTTGAATATGCACACTCTGTTTGGAGATAGATAAAAAATATATATATGATATCATGGTGCAATTTATAAGCAACTATTATGAACTTTTTTAGTCTCTTTCCAACCAATTTATAAGCTGTTAGAAGAGTTTATAAGGTACTTAACTTTTAAGAGGTTATGAACTCTCTTTGAGTAGAAAATAAGCTACTCCAAACTGGTTCTCTTCAGGGAAAAAAAAAATTAATTTAATCATAAAAAATTTCTTATTCGTTTATGTTAGCAAGGGATAGAAAGATGATCTAGTTCTAATCGACATTTTATATTCAAATCTTCGGAGTTGGTGTATCGTGTTCTCCATACTTTGCATAATAATTCAAATGTGGAAAAGTCCCAACATTTAAATTTGCAGTGTTTTGGCTTTTGAGTTTCCTCTGTTTCTGATCAATTTCTCCCGATAATCAGGTGATTCATACCTTGTTGCTGGCACGGATGGCGTGGGAACTAAACTTAAGCTAGCTTTTGAAACTGGAATCCACGATACTATTGGGATTGATTTGGTAAATTTTTGAAATAAGGCGAGTTATATACTTTTATCCTGCCTGAAATTGGCTCTCCTAAGGCACTTCATCTCAGGTTGCGATGAGTGTCAATGATATTGTTACTTCCGGAGCAAAGCCATTATTTTTTCTTGATTATTTTGCTACAAGCCATCTTGTTGTCGACCTTGCAGAAAAGGTATAGATGAGGATGCTTATTTAATTAGAACTTTGATAGGTTTAATTGTTAATTTACTTATTTTCTTCTGATTCAGGTTATCAAAGGAATTGTTGATGGTTGCCAACAATCAGAATGCACTCTTTTGGGGGGAGAGGTATGTCAATTTGATAATTGTTGGATATGCATGGGTGCTTTTTCAATTTAAGCATCATGAAATATCTATTCTGGAGCATGAGAAATCGGAGGATGAAAAAATCTTTGCCCTGTAGTAATAAAATTTTATTACAGCCGTGATGCCAGGAGGTGATGCATACAGAGTTATGGTTATTTCACTAGTCAAGACTACTTAAAAATCAGATTCATATAATTCCTTTGGTGATCAGCTGTGACATGCATGATAAAGTTCTCTACCTTCAGGTTGGGATTGTTTGGCATATAGCATGTCTTGACATAATGTGATTTGCTAGCTTTTTAAAGTGCAAATTTCTTGCCATATTGTCTTTTATGATCAACCAGATAAATAGGAAGTGCATAATTTGCAGACATTTTAAATTTTGAAGTTAGATGGTTCCCCCTTTTTTAGTTATTTTATCCATGCAACTTGGACATAATAATTTTTGTATTTCATAGATATGCTTAATGGTCATATGTGCTTTTCAGACTGCGGAAATGCCAGACTTTTATTCAGAGGGTGAATATGATCTCAGTGGCTTTGCGGTTGGTGTAGTAAAAAAGGATTCAGTTATTGATGGAAAAACCATTGTGCCTGGAGATGCCCTTATTGGTCTGCCATCCAGTGGAGTTCATTCCAATGGTTTCTCTCTTGTAAGGAGGGTTAGCAATGAGAGTCCCACTGTTTTTACTGTCATTCTACATCCTGAAAGCATCATCAATTACTCAGAGTTCTGCAGTTACTTATTTTTATATCATTTAGAGTCACTCACCTACCAGTTTTCATATTTTTATAGGGTTTTGGCTCGAAGTGGTCTAAGTCTCAAGGACCAACTTCCTGGTGAGGCACTTACACTCGGTGAAGCTTTGATGGCCCCCACAGTTATATACGTTAAGCAGGTTATTTGATCAACTATTGCCACCTAATATCTTTTTATTTTAGGTGGAGTCAGTTTATATCTAAAACCTATACTTTTGTTCATAGGTGCTTGACTTTATTAGTTTATATCTAAAACCTATACTTTTGTTCATAGGTGCTTGACCTTATTAGCAAAGGAGGGGTAAAGGGAATAGCCCACATAACAGGCGGTGGTTTTACCGATAACATACCTCGAGTTTTTCCTGAAGGCCTTGGTGCTCTCATCTACAGAGATTCTTGGGAAATTCCAGCTGTGTTCAAGTGGATCCAACAGGTGAAAAAGAGTTTCCTCTCGCATACTATTAAATTTCGAGACTGTCAAAAAAATTATTTCAAGGATCACATCATATTTCCCAATAACCCAAGGATTTCAGTGATTTTGCATATCTAAGATCATATGCTATTCTTATTCATCATTTTCCTTCTTGGGTAGTTGCTTTATTTTGCCAAGCATCTTCCTCGCTATGTTCTTTTATTATGATATACTGCAATTATTGCCAATTCAGGCAGGAAACATAGAAGAAGCTGAGATGAGACGGACTTTTAACATGGGAATTGGAATGGTTCTAGTTGTGAGCCAAGAGGCTGCCAAGAGAATACTAGAGGAGAAAGGTGGAGCTTCCATGTTATACCGAATTGGTGAGGTTGTAAAGGGAGAAGGAGTGAGTTATCACTAGAAACTGTGCCGTCAGATTTTCCATGTTTGTTGAGATAAGATGCACGTGTTCGGCTAATTGTTTTTTTTTTTTTTTAATACCTCCAGAAAATATGCATTATAAGTTTATCATTATTCTAAATTCAGGCCTGGGTTTAATTTATATTAAATGCCCAAAGCTGATACTTAAACTAGACTGATATGTAACGATCCCTCAGTTTACTGTATTTACTTCTTGGGGTGGATTTACTCTTTCAAAGATGTGGCAGTTTTCATGGTATGATT